GAGCAGCAGAACTGGCTGGCTGAGGAGCAGCAGAACTGGCTGGCTGAGGAGCAGCAGAACTGGCTGGCTGAGGAGCAGCAGAACTGGCTGGCTGAGGAGCAGCAGAACTGGCTGGCTGAGGAGCAGCAGAACTGGCTGGCTGAGGAGCAGCAGAACTGGCTGGCTGAGGAGCAGCAGAACTGGCTGGCTGAGGAGCAGCAGAACTGGCTGGCTGAGGAGCAGCAGAACTGGCTGGCTGAGGAGCAGCAGAACTGGCTGGCTGAGGAGCAGCAGAACTGGCTGGCTGAGGAGCAGCAGAACTGGCTGGCTGAGGAGCAGCAGAACTGGCTGGCTGAGGAGCAGCAGAACTGGCTGGCTGAGGAGCAGCAGAACTGGCTGGCTGAGGAGCAGCAGAACTGGCTGGCTGAGGAGCAGCAGAACTGGCTGGCTGAGGAGCAGCAGAACTGGCTGGCTGAGGAGCAGCAGAACTGGCTGGCTGAGGAGCAGCAGAACTGGCTGGCTGAGGAGCAGCAGAACTGGCTGGCTGAGGAGCAGCAGAACTGGCTGGCTGAGGAGCAGCAGAACTGGCTGGCTGAGGAGCAGCAGAACTGGCTGGCTGAGGAGCAGCAGAACTGGCTGGCTGAGGAGCAGCAGAACTGGCTGGCTGAGGAGCAGCAGAACTGGCTGGCTGAGGAGCAGCAGAACTGGCTGGCTGAGGAGCAGCAGAACTGGCTGGCTGAGGAGCAGCAGAACTGGCTGGCTGAGGAGCAGCAGAACTGGCTGGCTGAGGAGCAGCAGAACTGGCTGGCTGAGGAGCAGCAGAACTGGCTGGCTGAGGAGCAGCAGAACTGGCTGGCTGAGGAGCAGCAGAACTGGCTGGCTGAGGCGCAGCAGAACTGGCTGGCTGAGGAGCAGCAGAACTGGCTGGCTGAGGAGCAGCAGAACTGGCTGGCTGAGGAGCAGCAGAAACTGGCTGGCTGAGGAGCAGCAGAACCTGGCTGGCTGAGGAGCAGCAGAACTGGCTGGCTGAGGAGCAGCAGAAACTGGCTGGCTGAGGAGCAGCAGAACTGGCTGGCTGAGGAGCAGCAGAAATGGCTGGCTGAGGAGCAGCAGAACTGGCTGGCTGAGGAGCAGCAGAACTGGCTGGCTGAGGAGCAGCAGAACTGGCTGGCTGAGGAGCAGCAGAACTGGCTGGCTGAGGAGCAGCAGAACTGGCTGGCTGAGGAGCAGCAGAATGGGGCTGAGGAGCAGCAGAACTGGCTGGCTGAGGAGCAGCAGAACTGGCTGGATGAGGAGCAGCAGAACTGGCTGGCTGAGGAAGCAGCAGAAACTGGCTGGCTGAGGAGCAGCAGAACTGGCTGGCTGAGGAGCAGCAGAACTGGCTGGCTGAGGAGCAGCAGAACTGGCTGGCTGAGGAGCAGCAGAACTGGCTGGCTGAGGAGCAGCAGAACTGGCTGGCTGAGGAGCAGCAGAACTGGCTGGCTGAGGAGCAGCAGAACTGGCTGGCTGAGGAGCAGCAGAACTGGCTGGCTGAGGAGCAGCAGAACTGGCTGGCTGAGGAGCAGCAGAACTGGCTGGCTGAGGAGCAGCAGAACTGGCTGGCTGAGGAGCAGCAGAACTGGCTGGCTGAGGAGCAGCAGAACTGGCTGGCTGAGGAGCAGCAGAACTGGCTGGCTGAGGAGCAGCAGAACTGGCTGGCTGAGGAGCAGCAGAACTGGCTGGCTGAGGAGCAGCAGAACTGGCTGGCTGAGGAGCAGCAGAACTGGCTGGCTGAGGAGCAGCAGAACTGGCTGGCTGAGGAGCAGCAGAACTGGCTGGCTGAGGAGCAGCAGAACTGGCTGGCTGAGGAGCAGCAGAACTGGCTGGCTGAGGAGCAGCAGAACTGGCTGGCTGAGGAGCAGCAGAACTGGCTGGCTGAGGAGCAGCAGAACTGGCTGGCTGAGGAGCAGCAGAACTGGCTGGCTGAGGAGCAGCAGAACTGGCTGGCTGAGGAGCAGCAGAACTGGCTGGCTGAGGAGCAGCAGAACTGGCTGGCTGAGGAGCAGCAGAACTGGCTGGCTGAGGAGCAGCAGAACTGGCTGGCTGAGGAGCAGCAGAACTGGCTGGCTGAGGAGCAGCAGAACTGGCTGGCTGAGGAGCAGCAGAACTGGCTGGCTGAGGAGCAGCAGAACTGGCTGGCTGAGGAGCAGCAGAACTGGCTGGCTGAGGAGCAGCAGAACTGGCTGGCTGAGGAGCAGCAGAACTGGCTGGCTGAGGAGCAGCAGAACTGGCTGGCTGAGGAGCAGCAGAACTGGCTGGCTGAGGAGCAGCAGAACTGGCTGGCTGAGGAGCAGCAGAACTGGCTGGCTGAGGAGCAGCAGAACTGGCTGGCTGAGGAGCAGCAGAACTGGCTGGCTGAGGAGCAGCAGAACTGGCTGGCTGAGGAGCAGCAGAACTGGCTGGCTGAGGAGCAGCAGAACTGGCTGGCTGAGGAGCAGCAGAACTGGCTGGCTGAGGAGCAGCAGAACTGGCTGGCTGAGGAGCAGCAGAACTGGCTGGCTGAGGAGCAGCAGAACTGGCTGGCTGAGGAGCAGCAGAACTGGCTGGCTGAGGAGCAGCAGAACTGGCTGGCTGAGGAGCAGCAGAACTGGCTGGCTGAGGAGCAGCAGAACTGGCTGGCTGAGGAGCAGCAGAACTGGCTGGCTGAGGAGCAGCAGAACTGGCTGGCTGAGGAGCAGCAGAACTGGCTGGCTGAGGAGCAGCAGAACTGGCTGGCTGAGGAGCAGCAGAACTGGCTGGCTGAGGAGCAGCAGAACTGGCTGGCTGAGGAGCAGCAGAACTGGCTGGCTGAGGAGCAGCAGAAACTGGCTGGCTGAGGAGCAGCAGAACTGGCTGGCTGAGGAGCAGCAGAACTGGCTGGCTGAGGAGCAGCAGAACTGGCTGGCTGAGGAGCAGCAGAACTGGCTGGCTGAGGAGCAGCAGAACTGGCTGGCTGAGGAGCAGCAGAACTGGCTGGCTGAGGAGCAGCAGAACTGGCTGGCTGAGGAGCAGCAGAACTGGCTGGCTGAGGAGCAGCAGAACTGGCTGGCTGAGGAGCAGCAGAACTGGCTGGCTGAGGAGCAGCAGAACTGGCTGGCTGAGGAGCAGCAGAACTGGCTGGCTGAGGAGCAGCAGAACTGGCTGGCTGAGGAGCAGCAGAACTGGCTGGCTGAGGAGCAGCAGAACTGGCTGGCTGAGGAGCAGCAGAACTGGCTGGCTGAGGAGCAGCAGAACTGGCTGGCTGAGGAGCAGCAGAACTGGCTGGCTGAGGAGCAGCAGAACTGGCTGGCTGAGGAGCAGCAGAACTGGCTGGCTGAGGAGCAGCAGAACTGGCTGGCTGAGGAGCAGCAGAACTGGCTGGCTGAGGAGCAGCAGAACTGGCTGGCTGAGGAGCAGCAGAACTGGCTGGCTGAGGAGCAGCAGAACTGGCTGGCTGAGGAGCAGCAGAACTGGCTGGCTGAGGAGCAGCAGAACTGGCTGGCTGAGGAGCAGCAGAACTGGCTGGCTGAGGAGCAGCAGAACTGGCTGGCTGAGGAGCAGCAGAACTGGCTGGCTGAGGAGCAGCAGAACTGGCTGGCTGAGGAGCAGCAGAACTGGCTGGCTGAGGAGCAGCAGAACTGGCTGGCTGAGGAGCAGCAGAACTGGCTGGCTGAGGAGCAGCAGAACTGGCTGGCCTGAGGAGCAGCAGAAACTGGCTGGCTGAGGAGCAGCAGAACTGGCTGGCTGAGGAGCAGCAGAACTGGCTGGCTGAGGAGCAGCAGAACTGGCTGGCTGAGGAGCAGCAGAACTGGCTGGCTGAGGAGCAGCAGAACTGGCTGGCTGAGGAGCAGCAGAACTGGCTGGCTGAGGAGCAGCAGAACTGGCTGGCTGAGGAGCAGCAGAACTGGCTGGCTGAGGAGCAGCAGAACTGGCTGGCTGAGGAGCAGCAGAACTGGCTGGCTGAGGAGCAGCAGAACTGGCTGGCTGAGGAGCAGCAGAACTGGCTGGCTGAGGAGCAGCAGAACTGGCTGGCTGAGGAGCAGCAGAACTGGCTGGCTGAGGAGCAGCAGAACTGGCTGGCTGAGGAGCAGCAGAACTGGCTGGCTGAGGAGCAGCAGAACTGGCTGGCTGAGGAGCAGCAGAACTGGCTGGCTGAGGAGCAGCAGAACTGGCTGGCTGAGGAGCAGCAGAACTGGCTGGCTGAGGAGCAGCAGAACTGGCTGGCTGAGGAGCAGCAGAACTGGCTGGCTGAGGAGCAGCAGAACTGGCTGTGGTGCCCCGACAGGAAGAGCAGCATACCGGTAACCGGCTCTTGTTCTCTTCTCTATGGGAAGAAAGAGCGGTGCAAGGCGGTGACGGATGAATAATATGTGGAGCAGAAGCGCCTCCAGAGGTTGCATCGGCAGGGAGATAGAAGATTCACATTTTGCAAAGGGCTGCAGAGAAGGCCAACCACCAGTCTTCTTAGATGTGGTTTGAAAGACCAAAATGGTTTTGTCCTCCAATCACCGTTGAGCCCGTAATTGGCGTCTCCACCAAAAGTGGGTGAAATGGCTTCTCAAATGCAAGTGTACACGCAAGGTGGACTACATGCCCGACTTGACTATACACCACAGCTGCTGTACAACATGCTTTCATATACATACCCGACCTCACGCTGACTGCTCGAATGCCTGCATGCTGTTCGATTCTGGAGTTCCGTGTGCTTTGATAACTCGTGCTTCAATCCCCATCCTCACTCTAACCTTCACATCCCACGGCAGCTTCCGGGTGGCTTCCCCATCAGGGGCTTCGAGTCGACGTCCTTCTACGGCTGGTTTGGGCTGCTGCTGGCTGTGCAGCGGCAGCCAGTGGTGGTGCACATTGAGGCTTCCGCTGCGTCGTTTAAGAACTACGATGGGGTGAGTCCCGGTGTGTGCTCTGTTGGGATAAGAAATAACGAAGGGATGTGGTGATTGAACAGTAGGGCGCGTGTGATTGAAGGTGTGTGTGTCCGTGACTGTACAAAGGAACATACAAGGCACATGGCAAATCAGTCATTTTCTTGCCTACCCTTACTGTTTCTTTCCTTCCCCCAGCTGTCCAAGTACCAGGACCCCGATTGCTTCACGTACAACCTGAACCACGTGGTGCTGCTGGTGGGGTACCGCCTGGTGGGCAAGGACTCGCGCTTCCCCCACATGGCGCCGCCCTTCTGGATCATCCGCAACTCGTGGGGGCCTGACTGGGGCGATGGGGGCCACATGCGCATGGACATCCAGGGGGGGGATGGCGTGTGCGGCATCAACTCGCTGCCAGGCCTCTACCCTGTGGTCAAAGGTGAGTGAGTGCACGGTCAAGGGTGAGTGAGTACAGGGGATCTCATATGCACACCTGTTCAATTCAAGCCATGATGCCATTTCAGGTTTCAGAACCCACCTGCCTTGCTTCTCCACGCTTTCTTCGCGCCCTCGCCCTGCCTGCAGCTTCCGCTGACCCCTGCAGCATAGCCGCCCGCAATGATAGCACTGGTTCGTTTTTCAATCCCTGCGGCAAGTTCACCTGCATTGCCAAGGGCAAGACAAACGAGTGTGACTGCAACGACCCGCGCTTCATCCAAGCAACCAACGCCGATGGCTCTCGCACATGCGCCTACAGTAAGCTACCGCCGCCGCTGCTGTTGCTGCCTGTTGCTGTTTTATGAATCCATCTCAGCAGCACAACTGCTTGCCTCCTCCCACTGCTTTCAGAGCCACTTTTTTCCCCATTTCTCTTCCTCCAGCTCACTTCCTCCCCTCCCCGCCCCTCCCCTCCCCTCCCCTCCCCTCCCCTCTTTCCACCGTGCCCTCATCAGAGGATGCATGCAAGGCAGCCCAGCGCAACCCATGTGCGGTGGGCACGTGTGTGAATGACGGGGCGGGGTCGTACTCGTGTGTCTGTCCACCGGGCTTCAGGCAGGGCACCACTGTTGAGGGCACCTTCTCCTGTGCTCCAGGTACCTTCTCCTGTGCTCCAGGTACCTTCTCCTGTGCTCCAGGTACCTTCTCCTGTGCTCTAGGCACCTTCTCCTGTGGTCCGTGGTACGTTCCTTAGAAACAAGTATGAGCATTTGTGACTAATTCACCAAGACAAGCAAACAACCTTGGCACAACACATGCTAGAGGGATTAGGGGCAAATTGGAATATTCATCCCAAGGAGATTCATCCAAACTCTGGAGATCCATCCTGTGTTGCATGCTGTGCTGTTCGCTTTGCCGCATGCACGTGTGGCATGCATGTGTTGCATGCTGGGCTGCATGCTGGGCTGCATGCTGGGCTGCATGCTGGGCTGCATGCACATATGGCATGCATGTGTTGCGTGCTGGGCTGCATGCTGGGCTGCATGCTGTGTTACATGCTGGGTTGCATGCTGGGCTGCATGCAGGTGACACCAACACCACCTACACCGTGCTCTCTCCCAACGTCCGCTGCTCCGATGTCTTCCCGGTCTACGGCCTCACGCTCGCCCAGTTCCAAGCCCAGAACGTGCGACTTTCACACCCTTGTGATTTCTCCATACTGATTCTAAACCCAGAACATGTGTTCCCTGCACCCTTGAGAGATTTCTATACTGGTCGAAGCAAATGCATAGTACCAAAGCATGTGCCTCCTGAACGCACACCTCTTACCTAGCCTCACTGCCCACTCTTCCTTCCCATCACTCAATTTCCTCACCAGCAGCTGCCTTACCTGTCGTTTGCCCCACAGCTCACACACAAGCTTCTTCCTCGTGCGTGCGTGTGCGTGTGTCTCATGCCTCTCCCTCGGTGCATGCAGCCATCGGTGTCGTGTGCAGCACCCATCCCACCCTCCACCGTTCTCAAAGTGGCCAGCCCAGCCTCTCTCATCCCCTGCTCCGTCTTCTACACCACTCAGCAGGTCCCACCTTCGCACCCTTCCATGCAATACACCATGTTCCCCATCTCCTTATTTTCCCCAGATTCCTTGTTTTCCCCAAAATCCTTGTTTTCCCCAAAATCCTTGTTTTCCCATTTTCCTCATCTTCCTCCATCTGCACCTCTACTTATATCCAAACAGGCCCCAATTCCCTCCTTATGCTACTTGTCTTCTACTTATATCCAAATGGGCCCCAACTCCATCCAACTGTCAACTCCTAACCTCAGAATGAGCATTCTTTTCACACCTCACGCTCTCTGCTTCTCCCTGTGCGTCACTATCTCAGAAAGACACCTGTGAGGCCATAGCAGGCTACTTCGGGACAGATTTTCAGGCGCTCAACCCCAGCTTGGACTGCACTGCCAACGGCGGGCTACTGCAGCCGGAGCAGGCGGTGTGTGTGGAGCGTACGATTGATAAAGTGGGGCTCATCCCGGTGTGCTCGCAGTACTACCTGGTGCAGAGCGCAGAGACGTGCGAGTCCATCCGCAATATACCCTTCCCCCCTCTGAGCCCCGTTGACTTCTTCCGACTCAACCCCGGCATCAAGTGCAACCGCCTCATTCCAAACACTGATGTTGGCAGCTTCACTGGCTTTGAGGTGCGTGCGTGGCAGTGGCTCTGCTTGTGCATCTTTGCCCTTCCTTGTGGTCCAAGCTTCCTCCCTCTCTTACATCGACCGACTCATCATGTATCTTTGCCTTTCCGTGCTCTGCTTATGCCTCTCCGCCCGTCCTTGCAAAGCTGATGTGCCGTCTCCCTTGTTCTTCCTGCCTCAAATAGTCTAACTCACTGGTTCTCCCGTGTTTGCTGCCTCTTTTCCTTCTTCACTCCATCCTCCCACCCCACCTTACTCCTCCTCTCCCCTTCCAGGCATGCATTGCGAGCTCCACTTCTCTTTTCTTCTTCATTTCACCTCCGCCACCCATCCCCCCTTCCCTCCCCCTCCCACAGGCATGCATTGCGAGCTCCACGTCGTACACTCAGGGCACGTGCCCACGTGCGAATGCGTATGTGGTGGGGACAGGCGACAGGTGCACGGGCCTTCAGGTGAAGTACTTCCGGGGCATCAAGGGCTGCTACAGGAAAGTCAACGGATACGACTGCATCGACAAGCTCGTCAAATCAACCCGCGTGTGCCTGCCTGACAAAGTCAAGCTTAAAAAAGGAGTGTGCGACAACTGACATCCTGCGGATCGTCTCTGCATCTCCGTTCTGAGAAGATCAGTTTGGTTCCCTAACACCCTGAATGGACAGATGTTTCTAGTCTGGTATACTTGTAAATGACTAGATTGCTGAGGTAGAGAAACCTAGATTACCGTAACCAAATTTCGTTAGGCCTTTTATACAATGTAAGTCCACTTTATACCATCAGGGTGGTTTTGAGTTGAAGGTCACATTTTAGACCTAGTGTTTTTTAAATTCCTTAACTGGTGGGGGGAGGAGGGGGAAGTGGGGAGCAGGGCCTGTGCTAGGATTTAGGGCACCCGGAGCCGTCAGGACAACTTTTGAAAACCTTCCAAAATGCCCTGATTTTTCAGGGCAAAATTCCCTGGCCATCCTGAAATTTCAGGGCACCTGTAGAAATTCATCTGGATGTTTCAGGGCAAAGAAATACAAGACACTTGAGTGGAGGGGAAGCCACGAGAGGAGCAGGTTGTTCAGTGGTTTCACTACAATGGGCTGAGCTAAAACCTTGGAGGGGTGGGGGGGGGTGGGGGGGGGGTGGGGTGGGGACAAAACTAGCACACACACCCCCCAGCCTCCCTCCTCCCCTCTCTCCCTCTCTTCCCCTCCACCCCTTCTTCCCCTTCCCACGAGTCAGGGCATCCCTCTACATTCACCCTAACACCATCCTGAAATCAGGGTAATCAGGATGTTTTGCCCTGATATCGTGGGCCCTGGTGGGGAGGATGGTCTCCTATCCGGGGGACTGCGCTGCGGTGCTTGAAAAGATACACGCTGTTCAACTGGACATCGCAGGACAGTCAATGCCAGGGTGGGTCGTGAAAATGTTGAATGAATGAACCGCTCGAAATAGGGAAACGGAGATGGAGAGGAATGAACTTAGACCCACAAATTCTGGTGAGGGAAACGGAAATTTGTACCGTAGTTGGAGAAGGGCGTTCAGCGTGCTTCGACAATACAAAATTATGAAAAACACTATGTGTGTTCATAAAATATAATTTTGATAGCAAGCAGGTCTCTTAAATGCGACCACGGTAGCAGGTTAGAGCGGGCCATCTTACGGAGTCCGCTGGTAGCCACCCCGTGCGGAGTTGCGGGTACCAACTTCATATCAAGATGGCGGCCCGGTGCCGCGCGTGGGCCGCATGCAAGGGACCCACTTGTCTGCTCACCCACCCACTGCCGCAGGCATGGCATGGCATGGCATGGAACGCCATGGCATGCGTGGCAGGAGGCAGGAGAGGAGGGGACGCCTACTCAGGCTGCGCATCATCCAGCAGCGGCTCCAGCGGGGCCTCTAGCTCCTCTGGGGACGGTAGGCGCTCAAGCTGCAGAGCGGTGGAGAGAGGGAGGAAGGAAGTGCTTTATTGTGCTGCATCAGTCCAATCCAAGAGCACGCAACAGCTAATGGCAAGTGCTGTGTGGCGCACAAGTGTGGTAAAATGAGTGTGCATGGCAGCATGAGTCACCCTTGTGGTGCACATGCAGGGCGTATGGTGAACATGCAGGGCGTATGGTGAACATGCAGGGCGTATGGTGCACATGTAGGGCGAATGAAGCATGCACAGGGGGTGAATGCAAGGAACTCCTCTAACTGGTCAACGTACATGCATGCGGCAGTGAGCATGCATGGGGCAGTGAGCATGCATGGGGCAGTGAGCATGCATGGGGCAGTGAGCATGCATGGGGCAGTGAGCATGCATGGGGCAGTGAGCATGCATGGGGCAGTGAGCATGGGTCACCTGCAGGCGGGAGAAGAGCAGGGAGTGGCCAAAGGAGACCTCGAACGACCCAGGCCTGCAGCAACGCACATGCATGAGGGGGAAGACACGTTACGTCATGTGCCATGTGCCATGTGCAGAGCATGCTGCATGCCATGCCACCCATTGGTGATGCGCGCCCATGGCTGAAGCACCTCCAAAGGCAGTGGGGACGTTGTTGCTGTTGCACAGCCCACCTGCTCGCATGGCACAGCCCACCTGCTCGCATGGCACAGCCCACCTGCTCGCATGGCACAGCCCACCTGGCACCTGCTCGCATGGCACAGCCCACCTGCTCGCATGGCACAGCCCACCTGCTCGCATGGCACAGCCCACCTGCTCGCATGGCACAGCCCACCTGCTCGCATGGCACAGCCCACCTGCTCGCATGGCACAGCCCACCTGCTCGCATGGCACAGCCCACCTGCTCGCATGGCACAGCCCTGTGCCTTGGCAACAATGACCTCTGCCTCCCACTGTCCCATCCCCCCCCCGCGCCCCATGCCCCCCCCCGCGCCCCATGCCCCCCCCTGCGCCCCATGCCCCCCCCTGCGCCCCATGCCCCCCCCTGCGCCCCATGTCCCCCCTGCGCCCCATGGCCCCCTCTGCGCCCCATGGCCCCCCAGCGCACCTGGCCTGGGAGCCCTCGGGATTGCCGGTGACCATGATGGCGGGGAAGCGCTCCTCTGCACTCACAACACGGCCACAGCGGGTGAGAGGAAACAACAAGGGCGAAAAAAGGAGGGTGAGGTGAGAAGGTAACCTTGGCAAGGCGGGGAAGGTGAAGGAGGGCTGGGTTCAGCGGAATTGAGAGTTGAGAGGTAGCGTGTGACGTGACGGCAGGCAATGGCGTGTGGCAGCACAGCACAGCACGCACCCAAGTAGTCAGCGACGGCGATGAATCGGTCACGCGCATCCGTGTCATCTTCGTCATACTCCACCACCACCTGCCCACCCCACATACACGCACGCACACACACAAGCGCGAATGCACGGGTTAGTGCTCCAGCGCTCAGCGGCCTCACCGGCGCACATGCACATCTCAAGTTCATCCGTGTCATTGTCGTCGTACTCCACCACCACCTGCCATGGCCGCGCATGCAAACACAGTTGCGCATGCACATGCACGCACACACACAAGCGCGGTGCCTAGGCACAAGTGCGGTTAGTGCTCCAGCTCTCCAGCGCTCAACGGCCTCTCCAGCGCTCAACGGCCTCTCCAGCGCGCATGCACGACTCGAGTGCATCTGGAGACCTATGCCACGGCAGCACCGCGGGCCACGCGCGCCCCGCCGCCCATCCCAGCTCTGCGCGCGCGCCTATGCCCGCTCCCCCCGCGTGCGCGCGTGCGCGCGCCATACCTATGCCGGCTGATCAAGCGCTCATGCCTGCCGACGCAATACGCCATTCGCATCCCCAACCTTCCCCCTCCCCCTCCCCCACACCCGCCTAAGATTCTGCCCGCCCCAGCCACGCGCACCTCAGGCGGGGGCGGCGCGGACAACCCCGAGCGTCACGCCATGTGGCGCACGGCGCCGAGCCCCGCTCTCCGCGCGGGGAAGCCCTGCAGCGCGCGCGCCGATACTGCCTGCGGTAGCGCCCAAGCTGAGGAGGCGGGGTAGGGAGGGGAAAGGGGGAGGGAGGGGGAGGGAGGGGGGGTTGGGGGGTGGGGGGGAGGGGGGGGAGACGGACACGTGCGCGAGAAAGGAAAAGGTTGCGAGATGAGAGCGGATGACAAGAGGGCGGGGCGGTAGAACACGCGCTCCGTGATGATCGAAAGCAGCATGTGCAGTGCGGCGGTTGGTGCCAGGCATCAAGTGCGCTCTGACATGCGCCGGTGCTTGCCAGCAGCATGCGTGAAGCGAGGCTACTGGGAGGGCGAGGGAACTGACACGGGCGGGTGGGAAAGCACGGTGGAGCGACGAATGCAGGAGCGGTGAGACCGCGCGCGAGCTGCGAGAGGGAGGCGTGTTGAGGGACGACGGGCAGCGCGGCGAGGGTCGGCGGAGGTGGCGGCGCGCGGAGATTGGAATGGAGAGCGCATGCTAGCAGACGGCGTAGCGCCCTGCGGGACGCCATGGTGGCACGCAGGAACCTACGGTAATTGTGTACGTTCACCAAGAGAACGTGCTGCAGTGGGTGGCGGTTGGGTTGGTTTGGGCACAACTTCCATTCCTTGAAGGAGCTGGACAGGAATGGAAGCCCTCATGGGCAGGCCTGTCGAAGTTCCTGGGGCCCATACTTGGAGTCCCCAGCTCCTCCCTATCTGACCCTGTTTTGGCCGAAGCTGAGTGTTTTGGCGCCCTTAAAGCTCGCGGTCACGGGCGCAGGCCAAAGTGAAAACTTGATATCCGGGCTTGCACTTACACTATCTTAGCTAAGGGAAATTTCGGCTGCTCCAAAGCTGACTTAGAGATATCACAAACACGGGAAAAATGCTAAGGGAAAAATCCCCTTGGCGTGCTCTCGTGCAACCTAAGGAGAAGGGGGGGGGGGGGGGGGAGTGGGGGGGTCAGGCAGAATTTCTTGGGGGGGGGGAGGATCCTAGAACCGGAAATCAAACCTTTGTGGGTGGGGAAGGCCTGGATGGAGCACTTAACGTATCCGGGGAAGGGTCGAACGAAGCACTTAGTGGCACGGGTGCAGGGCGATCCTAACACTTTATGCGTCGAGCTGGAGCGAAAGTAGCCCGGAATTTCAGGGCATTAAGGGCATATGCCCGTCAATCGACAGGCCTGCTCATGGGCAGTGCAGGAATCTTGCATGCGTGGCAAGGAGCAATTCCAGCACAGCAAGCAGGCAACCTGGGGACGAGGACGAGGTGGCGAAACAGAGCGGAGGATGACATGGGTGAGGACGCGGTTCAAGTGAGAAGATCGCTGGCTCGCGCTGCAAAATCGAACCTCGAAACCGATTTGGCGGTTCGATCGGCGAAACGCGTCGCTCACGTGGCTGTAACGATCGTCAGCGCTTGATGTGTTGGATGTTGCATACTAGAGAATGTGGTTTTGCCTGCGACAACGTCTTTGAAAAACTCACTTCGCTCAAAAGCACCTGCGACACTCGCAGCACACAGGCCAACAACACATGGCGAAGTTATGTTTACCAGATTAAACCGCCAGCGAAATTTTTCGAAATTCGCTGACATCAGCATCAATCCCACCTGTTGTGCTCGGTTCGTGCACATCAGTCCAGTTTGATGTGTCAGGAAACCCAATACCGATCGGTGATCAGTCGCCGTCATTTACTGTGCACAAAATGTAGCCATAATCATTTCTTTAGCACGGTTACTTGTTAGTAAACAGGGTAACCAAACTGCGCACCGATCGCCGATCGTGATCGATCGTCTACTTTTACCACGTCCTGAGCATGCTACGCGAGAAGCGGCCAAGGGAGGGTGACTAATATAAGCTACACTTTAGGAATGTTATTGTGTAAGTGTAAGGAAAATTCCTTTTCCTTACTTCGCATCCCTGCTCAACGCGTACATCACTGTAGCACCACAGCCAGCACCGTTACCACTCGCAACCCTCGCATCGACAATCTGCCCGCCACCTTCGCACATCGCACCCCGACCTCACGGCTCGGCGGGTAACCCGCGCTCCGGGCCTCCGCTTCGACACTTTTTCCCAACCTCAGTCCCAGGCCCGTCGCGCGACAACCACAGTCCATTACCGTTACCACTGTAGTTTCGCTATATATTCTTCGCTCATGCCTTCACTCATTGTACTCTTGCTTCGATAGTGCAATTCTCGTTCGTTCACTCAATTGCACTCGTAACACTTGGTATCAGAGCCTACGATCTCCTCTCGGACCGCACCCACACCTTCGCTTCCCCACTATCTCAATTTTTGGGGGGGGTGGACGTCTCTCAGCGACACAAGCACCGCCGCTCGTAGTGCTCTCTCGTAAGCACGCACGGCTACGACTGAGGCTCTCGCTGAGCTCGCCCGACACCCCCGCCATGGCCGAATTCACGCTCGCCACATTGACGCAGGAGCAGCTCGACCGTCTGGTGCGCCAACTTGAAGATTCGGCGCTCGAAATTGCGACGCTCACGGCGGAACGTGACTCCGCGCGTCAGCAATCAACGATGAACACTCCAGCGCCACCACACGCACCGACAAATGCATCTGCACAATCAGACGAGCCGATCGTCATCTCGTCCGGCACACCAACACAAAACAACAGCGTGGGACAGCGCTCAGGCGCAGCCAGCGATGGCGCCGCCCAGCCGATGCCTGGCATGGGAGGAAACAGGGTCGCACCAAGCCCGCGGAAGCCTCGCGAAGCCCGTCGGCACGTGGAGTTCGCGGCGACAAGTGGCGAACAGGCCATCATGGCACCAATGCCACTCAAGCCGCAACGCCCGCCCTGCTTCGACCCGAGCCAGCGTGGAGGTCCGACGGTTCAATCGTGGGTCTTCACGATGAACGTCTTCTTCGACGCGAATTACGTCGAGTCGGACGCAGCGAAGATTCGGTATGCAGTTTCGCTGCTAAGGGGCCCCGCCATGGACTGGTGGCGAGTCATCGTGACGTCGCCACGCGCCTACGAGCCACCGTCGCAAGAGGAAGGGCCCACGGGTCCAGCTGTCACCTGGAGTTCATTCTGCGAGACCGCCCAATACAGCACGTGGGATGCGTGGTGCGCAGGGCTTCGGGCGCGCTTCGAGCCGATCGCGGCTTCTATTTCGGCGCGTCAGAGATTGCGCACTTGGCGGCAGCTCGGATCGGTTCAAGACTATACGAGTGGTTTTCTCGCATTATGCGAGCAAGTCGGCTACATGCACGAAGCGGAGCGGGTGGACCGTTACGTCGGATGGCTGAAGCCGGACATCTCGCACGAAATCATGCTACGCGGGCTCTCGAACTTCAACGAGATTCTCGCGCTCGCCGAGAAAATCGACATTTTACGCCGTCCGAGACCGGGGTCCTACTATGGACATCGTCCTCGGGGACCGATCGAGCACGCCAGTGTACACGCTGTTGCGACGAATGCAGCTGCCGCGCCGTTTAAGGGGCGCTGCTTTGCTTGCAACAGGCCGGGCCATCGCAAGAGCGAATGCCCAGAGGAGCTAAGGCGCCGCGGAGCAGAGCAGGGGAGGGAGTCTCCAAGGCAGGGAAACGCCAGCAGTCAGTAGGAACCGGGCCAACTACTGACGAGACTGCCTGCTCGCCCAACCCCACCGACCCTCACCGAGTCATAGTACCGATTCATGCTATCGATCGGACTCGGACGAATAAGGAGGGTACAGCGACGGATTGCCCAGTACTGATCCACGGGAGAATACAGGGAGCAGCAGTGAAGATTTTTATCGACGGAGGAGCAAGCCACAGTTTAGTTAATACCGCAACCGCACGAAAACTGCAGCTGACACTTAGCCGTTGCTTACCGGAGATAGACGCACGCTTAGTCGACGACACGCCACTGGCCATACGAGAAAAGGTAGAGAGAGTCAAAGTCCGCTACGGGGGAAATTTCGGGTTTACACAAGAAATGCTCGCAACGACACTGGATGGGCACGATATTTTACTGGGACGTGATTGGCTGCGACGATATAACCCGCGAATTGACTGGACGACGGGTAGCTGCACCGTGCGAAGTAGTGGTAACTGGGTCGAGCTACCTCGCTGGCAGTCGCCCGAGTCTTCAACGGTACACGTCAACGCCATCACAATGAAACGGGCTGTCGCTGCTGGAGCTGACGTGTACGCAGTAGACATCGCAGTAGTAGAGGAAGCAGAGCAGCCGAGTGATTTCAAGAAACTGCTGGCAGCCGTACCGCCCGAATTACAGGAACTGTTGAAACGATACCCCGGGATTTTCCCCGACGACTTACCGGAAGGACTGCCACCTCAGCGAGCACATGACCACCGAATCGAATTAGAACCGGGGGCACAGCCAACCGTACAGCGCCAGTTCAGACTGACACAGCCCGAGCTCGACGAACTAAGGAAGCAGTTAGATTACCTGTTAGAGAAAAAAATCATCAGACCGAGCTCTTCACCGTTCGCCGCACCGATACTATTTACGCCGAAAAAGGACGGGGGTTTTCGCATGTGTATCGACTATTGTCAAGTCGCGGTACCCAATTCCCCGCGCCGACGAACTGATCGACCAACTGCGAACAGCACGGGTTTTTTCGAAAATAGATTTACGGGGAGGTTACCATCAGATTAGGGTCGAACCATCGGACTGCGCCAAAACAGCTTTCAGGACTAGGTATGGGTCGTTCGAGTACACTGTGATGCCATTCGGGCTGACCAACGCACCGGCGACTTTTCAGATGACCATGAACGAGGCATTTAGGCCGCTCTTAGATAAATGTGTAATAATTTACCTCGACGACATCCTAGTGTACAGTCGGGATAAGCAGCAGCACTTAGCAGATCTGGAAGCAGTGTTTATGGTTTTAGACGAGCACAGATTACTGACCAAGGGTTCCAAGTGCGAGTTCTTCCAGGATAGGTTAGAATTTTTGGGGCACGTTATTTCGGAGGCTGGAATTGAAATCGACCCAAAGAAGCTGGATACGGTAAAAGCGTGGCATCCCCCGACGAACATCACGGAGCTGCAGAGCTTTTTAGGGTTCGTTAATTATGTACGTCGGTTCGTCCCCGATATGGCACGGTTAACTGCCCCACTGACGGACTTACTGCGGAAGGGGGTCGTTTTTACGTGGGGGGAGAAAGAGCATGCTGCCTTCTCTGCCCTGAAAAATGTTCTCTGTTCCCCGCCCGTCCTGCGCATCGCCGACCCACACCGCCCATTCGAAGTAGTTAC